GTTTGATTTAAAAATTGCCGATTCTAAAATGAAATTCGATTCGAAGTGGGATGGTAAAATCATCATCTCTAGTGTTTTACTTGCTGCAATGATTGCGATTGTAAATGGTGAAAACGAGTAAAACAACCACATCAAATATAAAAGTTGCGTTGAAGATAGTCGGCGATGTAGTTGTGGGTGCTGTTAGCAACGATTACGGTCGTTGGAATATTTAACGACAGTTTTTGAGTCGCGAGAACACACCTACAATCAAAGAGATCACTAGTCATTATCACTAATTCTATTATTAAATTGTGATACCAAACAAAAACTTTGGAAATTTTTGATATTTAAATCGTGTGAATATATATACTGGAGATTGTCCACGCATTGCGTAGATTTAAAAATTAACATGGTAAAATATGCAAAATATTGATTATATTTTGGTTGCGTAAATTTGTTTCTCTTTCTCTCAGTTATCAGCGAATTTGAATCGTATTTTATGTGTTATCCATTATCGTTGTAGAAAATATATATATAAAAAATGTGTTTGTTTCAAACCATGAATTATAATGATGAGATAAAATGATTCTTAAAACAACGATTCAAATAGATGGAGAAAAAGAGGGTTAAATCAACGATTCAAATAGATATATGGAGAAAAAGAGAGATGAATTAAATTTTCATTGAACCCAAATTTATGGCATGACTTTACAACTTAGACTACCCACTTTTACATTTCAACCCAAAAAACTTGGAACCCGTGCAAGATTAACATTGTTTCAAACATGATAATAGAAACAAAAATTTCAAGAACAAAGTACAACTTCATAGGCCAACAAGTTACAAACTACGAAACACACATGAACCAGGTCTTGCTTCCAAACTGTACTCAAGAAACAGCAATTTGAACGGTCTTAGGCTTCGGCGGTAGCTTCTTCACGGTGACTGTTAAAACCCCTTCTTGATACTTAGCCGTGACCGCAGCCACGTCAGCATCTTCCAGTAACCGGAATTTCTTAACCAGATTGTGTGGAAGCCTCCGATCCTCTCACGTCGAAAAAGACCGTTTTCCCGACCCATGAGTTTATCAAAGTATTTCCAATGAATTACATGTACAGATGCCTATGAAAATATGATGCAAATTAATCTTTGATCTCTAATAAACTTACATGTTTGATATGAAAATAAACTTTTGAGTCTATATATATGAAAATGGTTGCATTCGTCTATGGTCTCCTTGCTCTCTGCTCTGTTTAATTTCTCCACTTACTCTACATATTATACTTCTGAAACCAAGACCACTGAGCACAAACCTTACAAGTTACAATCACAAGAGGCAGATATGTTTAGTTATGCGATAGTGCTAAGGGAACTTTTGACTGGTGATTTAAGAATCTATGGTTACAATTCTTTCACGCTAATATGGGTGGACATTGAGTACTCTCTCTTTGCAGTTGTCACAAGCGGTCCCAATCATGGTCATTATGTTAGCCTGGAGCAATGCCGTCAGCATTGACTCTTGTTTAACTTGTAATCTTAATTTTGAACACAAGAGTTTAAGATGAAACCAATAGACAAAAAAAAATTGAAGAGAAACGTTATCGTTAATCCCACACATAGGAGGACAAACAAACCAAAGGCTCTTTTGATGATCATTCATTAGATTGATAAAACATTACTTATTTTCCACACCCTCACTCTTATCTCCACACCAGTAGTGGGCGTATGGTTGTTGTCGAGATAATAGGCTATCGTCTAGAGAATGTCCTCCGACACATAGGTCATCCCAACGCCATACCGTCCAGTTCACGTCATCCGGCATCCTTTCTAGTTGGTAGTCATCAGGCACCGCTAAGGCGACATTCCAACATCTCATAGTCATAATTTCAAGATAATGTTCGAATAGAGTTTGGTAACCATCGTCATCCGGCATGATGTCTTTCGCGAGTACCATCATGTTTCTTAGTGGATGAGCACGATTGTCCGCTCCCCACAAATGCATGTCCGCTAACATCCTATGCATTCTAGCTCGTTTAGAGCCTGTAAAATGCAAACAAATCAAATATTACACCGTATACATTAACCTCTATAAATTAATACCTTTGGATATAAAGGTGATTCCGGCATTCTTATAGTATTCTTCATCCTCCGGTTTAATCTTGTGATCACCATAAGCCGTGATTGACACGTTACCATGATAACCAGCATTAGCAAGAGCTACTCTGATATTCTGATTAAACGAAACAATTACGATTGATTAGAATTGATACTGATTCAGATCCAAATTTTTATTATTTCGAGCAAGAGAGAGATAGATATCTTACTAGCGAATGTTTCACGTATTTCCTTCGTCTCCATGCCTACGACGATAACTTGTCGAGATTCGGAGACATCCATTGTGTCGACGGAGATGCAGAAAAGTGGAGATTTGGAGAAGAAAAGAAAAATCAATTTAGGGTTAGATCGAGTTTTGTAGGGAGACTCTTATTGGGTTGAGATTATCAATTTAGGAGTAGAGAAATTAATAAAAATATTTCTTTAATGCCGTATTTTTTTTTATGGACAAAAAGTGAATTTTAAAATTAATAATATTATCAAGGTTAATTTGTTTCGGTCGGGAATCTTGTCTGTTTTGATTGAAAAGCTAAGTTGTGTGTCCTCCAATGAAACTAATAAGCATTTCAAGAAAGGCCTAAAGGACAAACAGAGAAACGGGAAAGAAATAAAACTGCAAAGTCGAGACCACAAATAGGACAAACAAACCAAAGGCTCTTTTGGTGATCATTCATGTGATCGATAAAGCATTAATTATTTTCCACACAGAGTACAAGGTTCCGCCTCAATGTTTCGTGGTGGTTCTTGATCGTACCATCGAAATACTAGGCTATCGTCTAGCGGTTTTCCTCCAGCAAGTAGGTCACTCCAATGCCATACTGTGTAGTTGCACCTAAATGGCATATTTCTGAGTTGGTAGTCATCAGGAACTGCCAAGAGAATATTGTAGCATCTCGCATTCATAAGCCCAAGATTGGCTTGGAACAACATGTCGTCATCATCGTCAGCCGGCATGATGTTTTTCGCGATTACCATCACGTTTTTTAGGGAACAATCACGGTTATCTGCTACCCAAAAATGCATGTCCACTAGCATCATATGCATTCTAGCACGCTTAGAGCCTGTAAATGCAAATTAATCACTATGAACATATAGAGAACATCTTATATTGAAACAAAAAAACACCACAAAAAAGTCTTCTATATTTTGAAACGAAGAGAGTATAAAAAAGTAAAGGAAAGCTTAACCTCTGGATACAAAGGTGATTTCGGCATTCTTATAGTATTCTTCATCGTCCGGTTTCTCGTCACCATAAGCCCTAATTGACACTTTACCAAGATAACCCGCATCAGCAAGAGCCAACCTTATATTCTGATTAAACAAAACAATATCGGTGACTGGGAAATCCTTCATGTCCCAGTAGACGGCTGTTTCGGTATCTAAGAAGGGCATAAAACAGTTACGATTGATTAGATTGATACGATTCAGATGATGAAAATCTAATCCAAAGACAAACAATTTCGAGCAAGAGAGATATTTTACAAGCGAATTTTTCGCGTATTTCCTCCCTCTTCATGACTATGGGAGTAACACCCATGGTGTCGACGGAGATGGAGGACAAGTGGAGAATCGGAGAAGTGCAATTTAGGGTTAGATCTGCGGCTTGCGTTGAGGAAAGGGTCGAGTTTGAGTTTTAATTATATATATTGGAGACGAATCATATGAAGGGTTGAGATCTTCTTCTAGAAACAGCTACTTTCTTCTCAGCCGTCGGATCTCTCGTCTTTTGCTAAATCCCAATTCTACCCCTTAGCACACAACTAAATTATGAGATGGTAATAATTATCAAATTATGTTTTTTCAACATGATTAATTTACGGTTACCGATGATGAGTTTACACAAAAAAATATCAGATTTAACTAACA